AATGTGCAAGCCAAAGAAGATGATGAAGTACAACATGACAATGTATCTCACACGAGGTGCCATGTCAAAAACAAGGTATGTAGTGTGATTATTGATGGTGGTAGTTGTACGAATGTAGCTAGCACTGTTTTGGTTGAAAAGCTTAATTTACCTATGATGAAGCATCCAACGGCATCTAAGCTGCAATGGTTAAACGATTATGGAGAAATCAAGGTAAATAAGCAAGTTATGGTTTCATTCTCTATTGGACGATATAAGGATGAGGTACTTTGTGATGTGGTTCCTATGCATGCTGAACATTTACTTTTAGGGAGACCATGGCAATATGATAGGAGGGTAACACATGATGGCTTCAAAAATCGCTATTCATTTGTCATGGAGGGGAAAACAATTACTCTTGCACCATTGAGTCCAAGGCAAGTTTATGAGGATCAATTGAGAGTAAAAAAAGAGAGTGAGCTGAGAAATGAGAGTGAGCTTGAGGGTATGAAAAACAAAGAGAAAATAGCAGAAAAAGAGTCCAAAAAGAGAGAAAAGCTTGAGAGTGTTGAAAACAAAGAGAGAAAATCAATGAGTGTTTATGCAAAAAAAAGTGATGTCAAGGCTGCGTTCTTTACAAAGCAACCTATGTTTGTGCTTCTATATAAAGATGCTTATTTCAACACTAACAAACTTAATGATTCTTTGCCTAGTGTTGTTAGATCTCTTTTTCAAGACTTCAAGGACGTGTTTCCAAAGGACATTCCTAATGGTTTACCACCAATAAGAGGAATTAAGCATCAGATTAACTTCATTCCATGTGCAACAATTCCAAACCGACCAGCATATCGAAGCAACCCCAATGAGACGAAAGAACTTCAAAAATAGGTTGAAGAACTTATGAAGAAGGGGCATGTGAGAGAAAGCATAGTCCATGTGCAGTTCCAGTGCTACTTGTGCCTAAGAAGGATGGGACTTGGGGTATGTGCGTTGATTGTCATGCTGTCAACAAAATCACTATAAAGTATCGTCACCCTATTCCTAGATTAGATGACATGTTAGATGAACTGCATGGCTCTTGCATATTCACTAAAATTGATCTAAAAAGTGGGTATCATTAGATTAGGATGAAGGAAGGTGATGAATGGAAAAGCCTTTAAAATGAAACATGGTTTATATGAGTGGTTAGTTATGCCATTTGGATTAACCAATGCACCTAGTACATTCATGCGATTAATGAATCATGTTTTGCATGCTTTCATTGGCAAATTTGTGGTTGTTTATTTTGATGACATTTTGATATATAGTAAAAGTTTATCTGATCATATTGAGCATCTACGAATGGTATTAGAGGTTTTGAGAAAAGAAAAGTTGTTTGCTAACCTTAAAAAGTGTTTCTTTTACACAAATTAGATTGTTTTTTTGGGGTATGTTGTTTCAACTGATGGAATTGTAGTAGACGAAGAAAAGATTAAGGCTATTAAAGAATGGCTAACATCTAAGAATATTTTTGAGGTGTGGATCTTGCAAGTACACACTTATCTCTACTCTAAGTGCAAAGTTATTGGAATTTGAGCACATTAAAGAATTATATGCTAATGATCCAGATTTCGCTAACATGTTTAATGCATGTGAGAAGGTAGCTTCTGATAAGTTTTATAGGCATGATGGGTTCTTATTTAGAGAAAATCAATTATGTGTGCCTTACTGTTTATTCAAAGAATTGTTAATAAGGGAATCACATGCAGGTGGCTTAATGGGACATTTTGGAGTTAGGAAAACTTTAGATATTCTGAACGATCATTTCTTTTAACCACATATGAAACGTGATGTTGAAAGGATGTGTGAAAGGTGCGTAACATGTAAATAAGCAAAATCTAGAGTTTTACCACATGGTTTGTATACTCCCTTACCTATACCTACTGAACCTTGGGTTGATATATCTATGGATTTTGTTCTGGGCTTACCAAGGTCGAAAAGAGGCTGTGATTCTATTTTTGTTGTTGTTGACAAGTTCTCAAAGATGTCACACTTCATTCCATGTCATAAAATCAACGATGCAACTAATATTGCTGATCTGTTCTTCAAGAAGGTTGTTCGTTTACATGGTGTTCCAAGGACTATTGTTTATGATCGCGATGTTAAGTTCTTGAGTTACTTTTGGAAAACCTTGTGGGGAAAGTTGGGAACTAAGCTATTGTTTTCAACTAATCATCCACAAACTGATGGACAAACATAAGTGGTTAACAGGACGTTGTCAGCCTTATTCCATTTTATTATTCAAAAAAACTTGAAGAATTGGGAAGAATGTTTGCCGCATGTTGAATTTGATTATAATCAGAGCGTTCATTCAGCAACTAACTGTTCGCCATTTGAAGTTGTGTATGGTTTTAATCCACTCACCCTTTTGGATTTATTGACATTACCCATTGATGAATGAGCTAGTTGGATGGGAAAAAGAAAGCTAAAGTGGTTAAGCAACTACATGAGAGGGTGCGACAAAACATAGAGTGACAAACTGAGCAATATGCAAATCAAGCCAACAAAGGG